ACCTCTCTCCTCAGTTGCTACAAACAAAACCATCTCCAGACATCACCCAGTGTTCCCCGCGAGGGCAAACTCACTGCCATCTCAAAACCACTTACTTAGGCAATGAAAATACTGTATCTAATATCTCCTGCCCTAAATAAATAGCAATAAAATTACCTGCACAGCATTGCGCAATATACGTAGACGTTGGAAAGGTTTACATAAAGTCAGTGTCGTTGGCTTCTCTGTGAAGTTTGGAGTGCCAGGCGGTCCTGGACAAGAACCAGAAGGCAGTGGGGAGCAGTCGTCCTCTGGTCACTGGCTGACCTCTCCAGCTTTCTGTTCTTCCTGCCACTCCCATCATTCCTAAGTTACCCTCCTTCGCTCTTACTCAGTATCTGCTTGGTCCCTGGAGAAATAGCTCCACGCTCAAATACGAACGTGCCAACTCCAGGAACTGCCTACAATAACATTGACACTTATCAATAAATTTATTTAACAGATGTTTATTGAGCTGCTGCTACGTATTAAGAATATCGTAGTAAATGTCACAAAGTTTCATTGCTCGTGTGTCTTACATTTTAGTAGAATATTATATGTACATGTTTTATATTACTGTGTATTTTTAAGTATAAATGTAATACAGAATTATAAGCTAAGGAAGTGATACTGCAAATGTATCTTTCTAGATTAAGTGAGAACTAATTGGTGTCTACATTCCAAATGATGATCTACGTGATTAGCTCTGTCAGCCGGTTTTTTAAAATTTTCCCTGAAATTTTAAGTTTTGCTTCGTTTGGCTTGAGACAGTAACGTGGGAAGAAATAATTTCAAATTGTTGATCATCCTAAAGTGTGAAAGCTTAAAACGCTTGCTAAAATAGTAAATTCAGTTACTGGGGTTTTTGTTTTTTGTTTTTTTGTTTTTTGAATTTGACTAGGGCACTTATCGTTGTGATATGGAGTATATTCCAAAGCAATTGTCTGCTTGTAGTATTATTTTTCTCATGGAAATGAGATTTGAGTCTGCCCTCTTTCCCCCCCTCCCCCCGAGAAACAGGATGCTTTTTCTTCCTGTTTGAAGCATGAGAGAAATGGTTGGGCTTTTTTACCCCGCTCTTTGGCTTTTATTGCCATCATTTTACCTGGCTAAGAGCACTATAAAGAAATAGAGCTTTGGCAAATGGATCCTGCAAAGATTTACTCAGATTTCCATATCCAGGCTTTTCTTGTCAGATAGTTTTCACAGAGGATTATTAAAAGAAAATGTTGGCTGTCATTAATAACATTTTGTGATGTATCTTTAGACACTGATGATTACTGGTTATTGGAAATGAGGCAAGCATGCAATTGAAATACAACTGAATGCTTACACTGATGCGGGACTTGGCAGATAGCGATGCTAGATTAGCAAGAAGACAAGTACGTTATATATTGCTTCCATTAGCATTTCACAAGTATGCCTCTCTTTGTAAATGATGTTTGTCTTATATAAGGTATTTGTTCCAGGGTCTGTCAGGAGTAGGATTAGGTGGAATTGTGGAGTTCTCCAAGGACTGAAACTTTTAAAGGTACCGAGGTCTGTACTTATGACAATGCAAATGAGCACACGTGTCGCTAACCTGTGTTCACAATTTACATTCTCAGCAGTGATCCGAAGCAAGATTGACGTAATTATGTTGAGACGTTGTTAGCTACATTGCGCTGAGCGGTTTCATATGGAATGGATGTTTGTTGGATGTTTCCTGAATAAAATGATAAAGACTTAATTTGTGAGTAGCTGAACTTGTGTCCGTGAAAACTCCCCAGATCTTACAGAGGGGTCCTCCCGCATCATAGGACACGTCTCCAACCGAACAAAATCTCAAGGTGTTCTGAAGAATGCTGTTTATTCACTTCAGATGGTCTTGAGAAGGAATTAGGTCGAGATATACTTATTAAGTGACCATTAAACTTTTTTGGCTAAGAACCAGTATCTTAAAACAAATAGAGAGGTCTGAGGATAAGGAATCAGACATACCTTTAGGAAACAAAACTAACTCTTGAAAGAACTCACAAAATGTGTAAGGGAGACAATTTTTTTTTTTTTTAAGATTTTACTTATTTATTTGAGATCGTGTACTTGTGCACAGGCAGGGAGGAAGGGCAGAGGTAGAGGGAAAAGCAGACTCCCTGCTCAGGAGCCTGATGCAGGACTCGATCCCAGGACCCTGAGATCATGACCTGAGCCGAAGGTACATGCTTAACTGACTGAGCCACCCAGGCACCTCGGGAGACAAATTTTTAAGTGACTTCATTGCTGTTAGAAAAATGGTGTTCTTTTACAATTGTTATATTGGCAAAAAACTGTGCATTGGTTTTAACATGCTTGGGAGAGGTGGACACCAGGAAACTTGGGACAAGCTTGTGTAGGTCTTGGAAGAGCTCAAGTTTTTAAAATTAAAATAACTAAAAAATGAATTGTTCACATGCAGCATTAAAGAATATACAATCTAAAATATTCTTACAAGAAATAGATTGGTTTTTCATGAAAAATAAAGGGACAATATGAACTCTTTTTTTTTTTTTTGGAGAAGGAGAGAGAGAATCTTTTTTTTTTTTTTTAAAGATTTTATTTATTCATCTGAGACACAGAGATACAGAGAGAGAGAGAGCATGAGCAGGGGGAGAAATAGAGAGAGAGGGAGAAGCAGGTTCCCCGCTGAGCCGGAGCCCGATATGGGGCTCGATCCCAGGACCCTGGGATCATGACCTGAGCTGAAGGCAGATGCTTAACCATCTGAACCACCCAGGTGTCCTGGGAGAGAGAGAATCTTAAGCAGGCTCCATCTTCAGTGTGGAGCCTGATGTGGGACCTGATCTCACAATGCTGTGATCATGACCTGACCCAAAATCAACAGTCACTCAACCGAAAGAGCCACCCAGGTGGCCCTATGGACTCTTTTTTCCCCATCAAATTCTATAGCAGTTCTTCCTGCTGCCCCAGCTTTATTGAGATATGATTCACAACCTTGTATAACTTTAAGTTGTATGATGTGGGTATTTGATACACGTATATGTTGGGAAATGTTTACCACAATAAGGCAGGTCTTTTCCAAGTTTAGTAAGCATCAGAATTTCTTGGAGAATTTGCTAACGGAGATTCCTGGGCCCCGTTCCCAGAGATTCTGACTCTAGGTGTAGGGGCAGGCCATGAGCTTGCATTTCTGATAAACTGCAAGGTGTTCATACTATCAGTCATTGATCACACTGTGAGCAGCATTGCTATGACAGATGGGCAGTTGACACATGGAGAGTAGAGAGTCTTAGAGTTTAAACTGTGTTATTTTAAAACAGAGGGGGTGGTGACTACCAAGTGGAGTGGAAAACAGTATCGGTATATAGATGTGTGTGTGTGTGTGTGTGTGTGTATCTTGAATATGGATATATATGTCCATATATATATATGTATGTGGATATATGAATATATATATATATCCTGAATTCTAGAGTATACTTATCTGGAATTTAACTGAGAACTTTGATCCTAATTGGGAAATTTATCAATAATGAAATAAAAATCATGGAGATAAAATAATGTATGACCTGACGGAGTCAGGGGTAAGCCGATGTTTAGAGAACTGACATTTAACTATATGGGACTCTTCATTTTTACTAATTAAAACTTGCATTAAGACATAAAATTGAGAATCAGATCTCTATTCATATGAATGTAACGTTTTAGTTTCAACCATGAAGACTGGCTGTGATCTCTTATTTATTACTGTATGTTGTATATAGTATACATAGTATTCTATATTGTATAAGGTACTGTATTTTATGGAGTATATATAGTTCTGTGGTATACATATATGTGTGTATATTTCTGTGGTTTAGTGGCAATAGTATAAATAATGTACTTAGTACACATATAGTATATATAGCATATATTTTATATATTATACTAATATATTATTATATTAGTATTATATATAGTATATATAGCATTATATTTTATATATTATACTAATACTATATATATAGTAATAAACTATTATACATGTATATATACTTTATTCAACATTATTCTTATTACATATATAAATATATGTAATATATGTATACATATATGTATATGTACTATTCATTATTATTTCTATTAACATTATTATTATGATTGTTATTGGATAATGGAGCCTAGTTATCATCTTTGATTTGTTAATATATATGGTAATACATTTTAAACCTATATTTAGACTTTACTCTGAAACTCTCATATCAGTTTATTCAATATATTTAGGTTGATTCAATATATTCTAATATTTGGTAAGCATGTTAAGGTGTATTTAGTATATTTTACTAGAGTAATTAAAGTGGATGCATGTTAATGCTGTTAGATCCATTGGGCTAAAGACATTAGTTAACAATTATATGTTATATATAGATATTTAATACAGTGCAGCTTCACCCGATCACCCGATAGGAGACTATATAGACAGTAGTCGTATGTTGCCAATTGTAAAGCAAGTTCATGTTAAAGTTTCTGAAAAAAACAAAATTCACCGATGACAACAACCTTTAGGAAACATTCCTTTTTTTTTTTTTTTTTTAAGATTTTATTTTTAAGTCATCTCTACACCCAACGTGGGGCTCGAACTCACAACCCCGAGATCAAGAGCTGAGTGCTCCACCAACCCAGCCAGCCAGGCGCCCCCAGAAAACATTTCTTACTGAATACAAGTATCTCTCATCTAAACGGTTCTGCCCGATGGTGAATCGCACTACATTTCCTACATGCCCCCTCTAGACTGCGCAACTTTTCTTTTCCAGCTGTGTTGAAATAGACATCTTTTAAAGTTCTGTCCTGTCGTGATGCTCTCGCTCAGATGCCCGTTATACACCATTCAAGTGATGCACTGAGTAGCGGGCTTTCCCAAACTGACGAGCAGAAGCAGGCGTGGAAAAGTGAGGAGTGCAGGTGATTTCCCTTTGGCCCTGCTTCTCATCCGTTTCTTTCTTTCCTTTCACTGTTACTGCCCCCAGTGTCTGGAGCCCTGCAAGGAGTCCTGGGACCCAAGGAAGCAGCAGTGCCAGAGCGTCTGTGAGGTAAGGCCGCCCCGCCCCGCGTGCCCAGAGGTGCCCAGGACGCGGCGTCAGCCTGATGGTGCTCCGCGCGGATCACTGGCGGGAAGGGCCCCTGCATTCTGCTGCGGGTTGGGGAGTTCGGTTGACTGCAGGGAGGGGTGTCTGTGTGTGTGTGTGTGTGTGTGTTGTGAATTCATGTAAAAGGGAGAAACATTATTGAGCTTTCTTAAAACCTAGCTACCCGCCGCTTCCATTATTGGAATCCATCTTATTACATAGGCTTAGAGACGAGAACCTTTTCCAAGGTAGAAGCTACTGCTGTCCTTCTACTTCCCAGCACGGCTGTTGTACCAGTAATTGTCAGCACAATGTTGACGTTCTCATGCTGTTTGGGAGAAGCCAGCCGTTTTATCAGTAGCGGGGTTCTCGACATTTTCGTCTCATCGTTCACCCTCTGGGCCCCCATATCCCGGGCAGGACGCTTGCCTGCCCGCCTTGAACCGGGTGCGAGGCTCTTACTTGGCCGGTGGTTTCAGGTAGAGAATAAAGGGTGTTATTGTCCCGGACACCTGCTGTCTAAAACCCTCAGTCGTGCTGCAGAGGGGAAGAGCCACTTTCCTGGACCATCTCCTCCAGAGCGAGTCGGGGGTCCAGGCTCTGACGCAGCCTGGGATCTGCTCGGGTGCAGCCGGGAGGATGTGGAGCCGGCCTGCCTGCTGACTGCTGGCCTCTCAAAGAAAGGAGAGTGGGATGGTCCACGAGGGCCGGTGGGGAACAGCGGTCGAAGAGTCCACTGTAGCAATCAAAGCACCTCCGTTGAGGGTTGTGGGGAGCGGACCAGAAGGGAGGCCCTGTGGCACCGGACTGAAACGATGGTCCGGGGCTTCTCTGAAGGGAACTGGAGACTGACAGCAACCCTTCCAAGCTCCTGCCCACAGACCCTCCCCATATGCGTGGAGATAAACAAAGGCATACAGTAAGTGCATAAGAGTTACGTTGGGAAGGCACGGAGGACCAGGAAGTTGGAGCTCATCAGGTCCGATGGCTCCCCCACTCTAGGTAGAAAGACCCAGCCTAAAGCAAAAGCCCCGAGCCTCACACCTCTTCCCTGCATCCGAGTGCTGCTTTGGCTCGACTTCCCTGGACGGTGATGGGGGATCATAGTGTTGTTGGGCTCTTGTAGAAAAGTATTCAGTTTGGCTTTAGCAGAGTGCAGTGGAGGAAATGTTTCTCAGCACAGACATGATCGATATGTGATTTTCCCTATCTCACTTTTACTTTGCTTTGGAAGTGGGACTCAGCATTTTGTGACGGGCTGCTGGAATATGGGTGATTCGCAAACTCTTACATAGTGATGTAAGTTGCTGGAAGCGCTTCGGACCTGAGGATTTCTGTCACTGAAGTCTTTGGAAGCATTTTGTAATTGTGAACATGAAAATGCCTTAAATAATACACAGGACTGGCAGATAGTCGAAGTCATTTAGCCCAGTTACTCTGCAAGGACACTCACCCCTAAGCTAACGATTGAGTGTTAACTCCCAAAGAAGAACCTTCCTACGTCTTTGTATCCAGCCCTTTTCTGGGTGTGGCGGGGGGGGGGTGATACAGAGGAGCATCAATCATGGTTTCTGTCCTCCCTCAAGGGAGCTGGCATATTATCCATCCATTTTCCCCAAAACATTTTTTGGCTTCTTCAGGGATTCCATCCAAACTTTTCCAGAAAACATATGGTGACCTGGCATTCAGTTTAATATATCTTTATATTAGTTATCTCTTGCTGCCTAACAGATGACCCCCAAGCTTAGTGGCTTAAAACAACACACATTTATTATCTCACAGTTTCTGTGGGTCAGGAGTTTGGACATGACTTAAATGCATTCTTTGCTTCAGCGTCCCACGATGCCGTAATCAGGGTGTTGGCTGGGCTTGCTTTCTCGTCTGGGGGCTCAGCTGCTTCTGCTGACAATCTGCCTCCGAGCTCATTGCAGTTAGTTGTTGGCAGAACTCATTTCCTTACGGTTATAGGACTGAGGTCCCATTCTCTCGATGGCTGCTGGAAGTTGCCTGCACTTCCTCACCACGTGGCCCCCCAGGCCGGTCACGAGATGGATATTCACTTTTTCAAGGCCAGCAGGAGAGTCTTGATCTGCAGTCTGCTGAGAGCAAGTCTCTATAATGCAACATATTCTCAGGTGTAACGCCTCTTCCCCTTTGCCATATTCTACTGGTTAGTGAGTCACAGGTCCCGCCCAACACACACGGACACACACACACGCACGCACTCATGTGCGCAAAGAGGGTGATGACATCAGGGGACGTTGTGACTCAGTGCAGCTCACTGTAAGGTGGGTCTGCTAAAAAGCAAATAAAAAGAGGTGGGTCAGGCCCCTGAGGCATTGAACAGAGCAGAGTCATCAGAAATACAACAGAACTGATGAGTTGATGCAGTGTCTTGTATGTTCTACAACTTGCCCTCCTACTCATAGTTTGCATTCTATGCTGTACACAAACCATGTATCCATGTAAGTTAAAATACGCTGTTGTGGGATCTTGTGGAACGAGACGTACCGTGTTGTTTGCATCATAAACACACGATCCCTTAATATCAGTGACGCTGGGTTGATGTTGTGACATCTGATCCCTGAGAAGGAAGATGTCATTGAAGGTCATCTGAAGTCTCTGTCCCTGGAAATTCCAAATGTGATAGCACACTTGTACAATACCCCCTTCTCTCTGAAACAACTGTGAGGTCTTCTGAACCAAATCCAGTTGATCAAAATGGGACTCATGTACCACTGTGATGCCTGCTGTGGTGGGAGGGGTGAATTGAAACTGGAAAGGCAGGACAAGTGGCGGCCAGGTCACGTGAGCCCTTCGTGGGCAGACCTCAGCCCAGGGGTCCCACCGCTCGAGCCCGCTGTTCCACTTTAGTTCTTTTCAGCATTCTTCATCTCGGTGTCTTGTTTCTGTCTGTGTTGCGGTGATGTCTGCCTGTGACGTTGACGAAGACCGAATCCTGCAAGACTGATCCCCATTTCAGCATTTTGGAGGCTGATCCTTCATTGAGGCAGCCCTAAGACAATCCTGTTCTTCCTCTCCCTTATCACGTGACTTGCAACGAGCGCCTACAAGACCCCTGTTTCCATGAACCTATGAAGCTTTCCCTTTGTGAACATTTACAGCCACAAGGACTCTTGAGTTTATTGTCCTCCAAGTGGAACAGCTAGACTGTTAGATAGGTTTGGCCCCGTGTGTTGATTCGCAAGATGCTCTGAGCTTTAGGGCATGGTTTGCCTCCCATTTTTATAAGTAAAGTGTAGGAATACGGCCACACCAGTTTGGCTGCATACTGTCGGAGGGAGCTTCGGGGCTATAGCAGGAGAGCTGAGTACCTGTGATGGATCCTGAGGTCCGTGAAGCTGAGACTGCTGACCACATGGCCCTTTACAGAAGAAGTTTTCAAACTCCTGCCCGAGGAAAAACAACAGTCCTCATCCTGTCACAAAACCTGCCTGACCCTTCAGAATGTTGTTACTTCCTGATCTGTGTGACCAGCACCTGCTTCTGAACACAGCTTTATTGTTCCTGGTGTTTTAGTCATTAAAATCAATTTTCCTCCATGGAAGAGGTTTTTGGAGGCATGTTCATAATCACATACCTAGAATTGGTTCGTGGCTGCCTCACACATTGATCTCTTTAACTTCTCATTTGATTATTTATACAGTTCTGCTTTTGCTCCTTTCAAACTGCTGTCAGAGTTAACGATGTTGTTCCTTAAGTGGAAAAGTTAAACGTGTAAGAGCAGGAACCTTGCAGGATTCCTTCTATGGATCACATGGGACAGTTTTTCCCGTGTCAGTTTTTGGAGCATGTTGGGTCATGACAGATACATAGACAGGTCATACTTTATTGTTTTAGTTTATTATTTAAACATTATCTCCATCTTATTATTTTTTTGAAGATTTAAAAATCATAGTAAACCATTTTTCTTCCTGATCATAAAATGCACATTTCTTCACGTTTAAATGTTCCTTTCTTACAATTGTAAGCATCTAAATTATCAAGGAAAAGATTCTTTTTCTTTCTTAATGGTATAAGATCATTGTGTGTACTACAATTGCTGTTGTCTTAGTTTTGATGAAACGTGATACATGGTAGTTTGAGTGACCTTCTTGCTGGAGGACACACCTCTCATCTTTAATAATGATATTTCTTTTTTTTTTAAGATTTTATTTATTTGAGAGAGAGAATGAGATAGAGAGAGAGCATGAGAGGGAGGAGGGTCAGAGGGAGAAGCAGACTCCCCGCCGAGCAGGGAGCCCGATGCGGGACTCGATCCCGGGACTCCAGGATCATGACCTGAGCCGAAGGCAGTCGCTTAACCAACTGAGCCACCCAGGCGCCCAATAATGATATTTCTGATTTCACAATATCCCCACCCTAGTAGGTACTCACTGGGATGTCCACACTGGCAATGTGAAGTGTACGTTAGGGTCGTGGAGAAGCTGAGACCCCATCTGGGTCAGGGATCCACTAATGAGACAGGTACCCAGGACTTACAGGAAAGCTGTTCTTGGACCAGCCTGGATTCTGAGAGAGCCAGTTCTTGCCATTGTGAACATAGGAAGAGGAAGAAGATTTTTCACTCAACTGCAGATAGGATTACTGACTCATTTCTTTGTGTTTTTTGCTTTTCACAATGTTTTCCAAGCTTACTGTATTGGATTTTCACAACCATTCTTAGAAGTTAAGCCTGAATTTTACTCGGTGAACTGAATGGGCTACAAGACTGACACACCAAGAGGAAATGGTTCTATCTGCCCAAGAGTCCATGTTTAATAGGTAGATGAAGAAGATCTGGAATCCAGGTGGTGGTCCATCTCTTTTCCACTGTATGCTGCCCCAGGCTCCCCCTCCTAACTCTGCTCTGTGTCCCAGTACAGAATGGAGGATGAAGTTGTACTCCGCGCCGCAGGAAATGAATCAGAGCCTGTTTCTAACGTAACGTTGTTGGCCGACCG